TAGTGTTTCTTTTAAGAATTAAATAAATTTGTTAAGAGAAAAGAAATCATATCCACCTGTTATCGCGGATAACAGGTGCATACGATTAATATCTATTAAGTTAATTAAATATTTATTTTAGATACAATTATTAATTGTTTTTCGTCAACTGTAAATTTTCCTTTTTTTATATGTATATAAAAATATGTGTATATATATGTGTATATATATATGTGTATATATATATATATATATATATATATATATATATATATATATATATATATATATATATATATATATATATATATATATATATATATATATACACACGAGGCTTATTTAAATTTTTTTAATTTAACTTAGTTTCATATTTTCATACACTTTTATTTTGAAATTTTAGATTATAATAGCTTTGAAACAATGATAATGAAAATTTTTTCATCGTTCTAAATTTATGGTAAGTTAAATATGCTTTTTTGTTATAAAATATATGTTATTATGTTGTTGAATTACATTAATATTTTTATAAATTACGTTATAGCTACAGTTATTGTCGTAAAAGATAAAGAAAAATCTTATGGGTGCAATTATTCCACTGACACCTGCGAAATTACCAAAAGAACTGACCATCGCTGTTTATTGTATTTTTTTAAATGTTCTAGTTAAACAATCTAACACTTAATTATTTGTTATTTTTATTATTGTTTTATAAATAAGCGTCCTTATTGCTTAGCGACTAGTTAAGTTATATTATAAGGATTATATTTTCAAGAAGATTCTGTGTTTAAGTAAAAATTATTATTTTTACTTAAACTCGTATATTTCTTGAAAAATAAGCCTACTAATATATCTATGAAATCTTTAAAACTCAAATAATTAAATAAAACCCTAATAAACATATGAATTTAACTAAAAAAACTATTAACTAAAACTAGAAAGTAATACTTGACCGAAAAAAAAAAACCTACTAATCCTGTTAAGTACCTACTAAGTTCCGAGTTAAAACCCTAGTAATACTACTAAGTTTCCTTCTAAAATCTTGCTAATCCTACTAAGTTTCCTACTAAAACCTGCCAATCCTACTAAGTTCCTAGTAAGTACTCGGCGGGAACTTACTAAGTTTTAGAAGGTAACTTATTAGGAACTTAACAGGATTAGCGGGTTTTTTTTTCTCGGGCAATGATTTACATATAAAAATTTTTTCTTTCTTTCCTCAAAAGTGTTGCAAATGCAGACTAAGCTAATTAATTAGTTAAACACGTTAAATAAAACTTAAGTAACTCGATATTTGATAAATGCGCAAAACTAAAATATTCTCCATGTTTTTTAAGGTTTTTAATTACAGCCCCCCACCCCCCGTTTACAAAGGTCCCCTAAGGTACGCACAATAAATTATTAGGAATAAAATAGAGAGAATATAAAAAAATTGAACTAATTGCATACATTAATATTTTTAACAAAAATTTACAATAAAAGGAAATCAGTTTTTTTTATTTTTAAATTCTATAAATACATAATATCGTAAATCTAAAAAAAAAAGTAGCGGAAATATGACAAAAAAAAAAAGATAAAAAAAATCAAAGCAGCACATAAAACCGAAAATTGGTTTACCTATTTAAAGTAACCTATCTTGATATTGCAGTTAATACAAACATTATTCGAAAATGTAACTATAAAATCTGTTTCGAAGTACAAAAGGATTAACAATACTAAAAAAAAACCAAATTAAGATATAAATTGCATTTTTAGCAAAATGTTGTCTTGGCTTTTAGTAAATAAATAAAAGTAGTAAGTTCAAATAATGAAACTACCTATTATTTAATTTGTAACAATAGACACCAACGGGAAGGTGAGCCAAGCTGTCTATCAACACAAAATATTACAACAACAGCATTACAACAATAACACATAATAATAGCACATAGCATATTTGCACCCTTGATCCTAATATCCAGTGAAAATAACAAACCAATTTAAAAATATGAATAGCAAAGTTTAAAAAACCAGTTCCAAGTTAACTATATTTACTATTTTACTAAACTTTAATAAATTATATTTGTTTTTATGTTCAATGTTAGTTATTTAATTATTTCACATTTATGACATTAAAGCACCCTAGATTTAAAGATTAAGGTTGCATAATCTCTCATACATATTATGCTAAACATTAACAGATATTATGTGTTTCCAGAATAATTAAAAAAGGCTAGACAACACAACCTAGCTCTAAAGCAGTAACACCGCCTGGCACTATATGCTGACAAGTCACTCCTCTGCTATAAGTACACCGCTTGGCTGGCAAGGTTATCAAATTTGCTCAACACACTTGCTAAGTCACACCACTTTGAAAACATGGAAACAACATTATTTAAACATATTTTACAACTATAAACAAATATGATATTATATAACACATATAAACACAATTTATAACAATATTAAATAATAAAGATATTTATCAAGAACTATGAAAAAAAAATTAAAACAATAAATAAAGTTATACATACAAAATGTGCCCTCAACTTTTTGTGAAATGAAAATCTAAAGAATATAAGTTAAGAACTTTCGAAAATATAACATCTGTGTAACATTTTTCACCTGCCTTACCTTGAATAGGGTGTTTATCAACTTTAAAAAACAAACTATTAAACGCCCTTGTTCTTGAACACGCTACATATAATTGACAAGAAGAAAAACAAGGTTTTTTAAAATAAACACCAACTCTATCAAACGTTTGACCTTGAATTTTATTAATTGTCATAGAATATGCCAATCGAACCGGAAACTTGGGACGTTTAAGAAAAAAAGGTAAAATAAAATCCGACGGTGCCAACTGGATTCTAGGAACAAATACTCGTTTACCTTCAGAAACACCTGTCAAAACTTCTGCATCAATATAATTGTTTTGGGGAACACAAACTTTCATTCGAGTGCCATTACATAGCCCAGCTTTAAGATCTAAATGTCTTAGTAGCATAATCACACAACCAATTTTCAATTTTAAACAATGAGTAGGCATACCTGAAAGAGTTAAGCTGTTCAAAAACTCAACAGGGAAATTATTTATTTCATTAAGATCGTCAATCTCTATCTGATCAGCACTTAAATAAGTTTTGACCTCTCCATTTAGACCTTCAAGCACTTCTTCATTGATTGACAATGAATCCACATTAGTGGGTGTTAAAATGACACGTTTAGCATAATCATCTTGATGAGCATCTCAAAATATTTTTTCAACAACTGATTCGTTTTCTCTAATAATGCATTGTTGCGGTATTTCAATACATCCTTTGAAAGGATCTTCCTCCTTGACAGGTACTGTTCCACTACCAAGCTTTAACAGCAATTCCGAAAATTCTCCTTCTCTATCACGTACTCTCATATTTTCAATTAATGTAAACTTCTTCACCTATTGCAACTGTAAAGAACATTTTATACATGATTCTACAACTTCAGCTGATCGTCCTCTTTTCACAACTGGCAGTATTTACCTAAAGTCACCACCAAAAAAAATGACTTTTCCTCCGAACGGAAAGTTGTTGTTGCAACCATCTTTTAACAACCAATCGATTGCATTTAAAGCGTGTTTGGAAATCATGGATGTCTCGTCAAGCATAAGCAAACAAACTTAAATATTGTCCCTGAATAGAGTTAGGAGTCATATTACATGTGCTGTTACCCAGTATTGGGACAGGAGGTTTAAATAAGCCGTGCAGCGTAGATCCATTTTTAAGAAGAGTTGCTGCTATTCCAGTCCATACAGCTGTAGCAGATTCAACACCCCTACTGCTCGTTTCAGCAATAAAATAATTATATGTAAAAGTTTGCCACTACCGGCTGGTCGATCCATAAAAAACAATCTGGAATGTTGATTTTCTACACTTGGTTGCTTGTTCAATGCTGCAAGGACCGCATTAGTTACATTTAATTGATTGACATTGAGAAGCGGTCTCATTTTATTAGCTTCGTCAATTGATTGCTGAACATTTACATTTAAGTTTTCTAGATTGAAATTTATGAATTCATCAACAACAGGCAAATTATAATCAGATAGCGTTTTACCACTTTGATTAATAATCTTTTCGATTTGACGAAGATTAGCTTGTTCAGCTAATATAAATGGAACTTGGCGATGAATGAAATCCTCCATCATAAAAGTTTTGTATGTATTCCAAAGATGCAAAGGGTCGTCAGGTTCACAAAAGGTTCAAATAATTGAAAACAGCTGTCTAATTTTCTTAAGCATTCGCGTTAAAACTGCCTCAGAAAGAGTATTCTGTCATTCAGTATCATCTTGCAGCAAACCTTTTAAAGCACATGCTTCACGAAAGGTTTCAAGAACTATTCCATTAACAGTACGCAAATCCTCTCAAGATGTTGCTCCTTTAGCCTGCAAAAGTAACAATCTAAGAAAAAATAATTCTCCTGTCGGACTAACTTTATACATTTTTACTATCACCTTATTTCCACCTCTTTGCTTAACCTTCCATTTAAAATGTTTATCATCAAATACAAAGTGATATGGAATGCCTACATATGAATAGCGATGCGCTTCTTCATTTTCAAAATTTAATTTAAACCATGCCGTAACGTATGTATCACGTTGAGCAGCACGATCAAAAGCCACTTGTTTTTCTCCTTCTCTAAAGTACACAATCTGATTCTCAGGTAGATGAATCTTAAGACGATTAATAGTGTGTGACATATGACTTAAGTGATACTCAAATATTCGCCAAAGTGCATCAGGCACACGAACATATCGACAATCTGAAAAAGTGTTTACTTCATTGTGATTAACCTGTTCATTTATCAAAACATTGGCACAATCATGTCCTTTGTATATATATTTGTACAAATATTTAACAGCCTTTACAGATATGCAAGCTTCAACATTAATGTGGGCTTGATATTTCTTAGATAACCAATGATTGTAAGGTACCATTCAACGGTAATCTAGATATTTGCCTTTAATATTGACAACCAACGCATTATCACAACGTCTATACTGTGTATAACCATTGTGAATGGCTACTTTGTTGGCACTAAATTCTTTAGGATAATTTTTGCTGCAAACCCACATGGGAATACTGATTTCCCAAAATTGTAATTCTGGGGACTCAGTATCCCCATGTAGGATACTGAATCCCCAGAATTAGGTTTCAGTATCCCACATGGGTCGTGAATCATGCAAGTTTAATAATATCATAAAGTTAACGATTAACAATCGGATCTGGAGTTTCTGCACATATTAAATTATTGATATCCTGTGCTGTTTCAAGTTTATCATCATTGGCTAAATGAAGTAAAATGTGGGCATGCGGCAAACCACGCTTTTGAAACTCAATAACCGGAACATGCATTACAACTTTGCCCAATACACCATGTTTGAATATATCATTGAGGCGGTTATTTAACTTGAGTTTAAATACTCTAGTAACCAAATCAGGTCGATCATTCGCAGTCTGACCCGGATTTAAACTTTCTGTTATTTCACGCCATTTTGGGTTGTAAGTAAAAGTAATAAAAAGATCTGGTTTACCAAACTTTTTAATAACTGCCATAGCATCTTCAAAGTTTTTTTTAAAGCTCTTGGACTTCTTACTAAGATGATAGCAAACTACTACTAGCCCTGGTCTAATATTACGATCGTATAAGATGATGGCAAAACTACTACTCGCATACATAACATGATAGCAAAACTACTACTCGCCCTGACGATGGCAAAACTACTACTCGCAACATAGGATGATGGCAAAACTACTACTCGCTCTGGTCTAGTATTACGATCGTTTGCAATGTTGTTAACATGTTCATGTAAGGCATCATACTGCTCGCTTCTAAGTTTGTTTTGGTTATTTCTGATAAAAGCAAGACGCTGGCCTTCAATTTTGACATACGCATCAACAGCATATTGCTGAAAAAGTTTCTTCCCATAAAATAAAGAACAGAAAAATTGCCTAACAGAAAATCTATAATTGTAGAACTGAGATAAGCAAACATGATTTCTAACCAGTGTGGCACGCTTAGGGTTATGAACCAACTCATTATGCCAACCAGCATCACCTCTTGGGAAAATAGAGGATAAACCATAGAGTCCAAGTTGCCTGATATACTTGATAAATAACAACTTGGTAAATAACAACTTCTCTCGAGGTTGGGGGAGCACCATATTCACCAACAAACACAACAGCAACTTCATCATGTGAAGGTAGATTATAGCGACGTCTATCACCCCCTTCAAGTAAAGATATTTTTACAACAGAAGCTAAGCAACCTTCTAGTGCCGCTTGACAAATTTCTTCAACTTCTACTTCAGCCATTTTTTTAAATGCAAGAGCAAACGGACTTTGTTCAGTATTTATAGTTTGCAATTGAAACATTATATCACGTAAACAAAAATCATTTTCACGTTGTTGCATTCTAAAATTTACTGCTGCAAGTGGATCATAAATATATAGTTGAGAATATATTGGTGGAATATCTTGATCTGGCCTAAGATTAACTACACGATGAAAAATCAGGCCACATTTTTTAAAACATGGAGGCCCATGATTTATTTGTTGAACTACATTTGCTGTAAAAGAAGCAAAAGAAAAACAGGCATTATAATTTCGAATATGTTTTAAAAAATTGACATTAGCATTACGATCAACATAACTCCCTGTAAATAAATCCTGTAAAGCTTGTGTTAATGGTGAAAGTGGAGGCAAAGCTACCTTACCATTATGGCAACATAGAAAATATGTTTCATATAGAAACTTTTTAGCACAACGGTACTGACAAATTTGATTCAATTTTCCTAAATAATTACAATCTGGAATAGCATTACTTCTTGCTATAGAATACAATTGTCCTTGTCCAATAGATCTTCTTACATTTTGGCGACGATTAACTTCGCCTCGATCAAGCCTATTTCTTTCATTTTGGTGAAGATTAATATTATCTCGATTTAGCCTATTTCTTTCATTTTGTAAATTATTAGTTTCATCTCGCCTAAGTCTATTTTGTTAATTTCGTCTACGATTGTTTTCAACACGCCTTATAGAACTTACATCATCTCGTAAATACATAACTTCATCTAACCTATCATCCATTTCAATGTCATAATTTTCATTAAACATATTTATCAAAGAAACACTAAGTTTTTTTTTTACTACTATAAAGTTAACAATAAAATATAAAAACTTAATAATTAACTAAAAAATTATACTCGAAAAATTAAAAAAAAATCTCAAAACAAATATATATAAAGTAACCAAATAAATGCAAAATAAAATTAATTTTCCATCATCAAAAGTGATACAAGTTGCTTAATTTTATTTAATAAAAGTTAGTAAAAAACCTGCAACTGTATTAACAAAGACTTAAAATAAAAAGTTAAAATTTATTATATTTCTAATAAAAAAATTTCGAAACAAACAAATATTCTTTTTTATTAGAAATAAATATAAAATATTCTTTTTTATTAGAAACTTTTTAATAGAAATATATATATATATATATATATATATATATATATATATATATATATATATATATATATATATATATATATATATATATATATATATATATATATATATATATATATATATATATATATATATATATATATATATATATATATATATATATATATATATATATATATATATATACAGGAGCGGATCCAGCAAATTATTTGAGTGCATCTGATTTTTTGGAAAAATCTTTAACCCCCACCCCAGGGCCATCCAGAAGAATGAGGGGAAGGGGGTGTTGCGTTGTACCTCCCCCCTCCCCTTAAAGATATCTATCAAGCATTTGAGTTGAGCACATTGAGTAAGTTTTGAATTATAGTTGGCATATTGGAAATATTGAGGACCTTTTTTTTTTTTTGGTGTCTCTAGTCATTAGTTGAAAAGCAAAAAATTGCATGGAACACTATCTTCGGTTAATCTATCAAGATTAACCAAGGTCTATTATTAAAAGAGGTCTATTAAGTTAATCTAACAAGAGCCTTTCTTCAATCAAAAATATGCAAGGTTATCACCGGGACACTTTACTTTTAGATTATAAAATTATATATTTACACATTATTTACAGATCTATTATTAAAAACTATATTTTTACATTATCATTAATAAAATAAATTACACAATGCAAAATTTTATATTTATATTTTAACAAATATATTATAAAATAGCCCAAATTATAATAAAATATTTGTATATTAAATATGCAACTTTAAATTATATAAAGAGGTATTTAGAGATGCATTCTTAATGCCACATTTTGTTAAAAAAAAAAAAAATTTAAAACATTCATTTTAATAAATCTTGCTGATAAATACGTAAAAACTGAAAAAAATCAATTAAAAAAACAAAAGCATTTGCCAATTAT